CCCGCTGCCCCCCCACCTTGTCTAGCCTCCTGCTCATTCCCCTGCTCCTCTCCAGCCCCCAGCTTGTTCCCCTGATCTTTTCCAGCCCCCAAGGATGGAGAAGAGAAAGGGAATGAGCCAGGGGCTGGAGAGGAGCAGGGGAACAAGCCGGTGGCTGGAGAAGATAAGGGGAATGAGCAGGGGGCTGAAGACCAGTGGGGCAGCAAGCAGGAGGCTGGAGATGAGTGGGGAGGGATGAGCAAGGGGCTGGGAACCAGCAGGGGAGGAAGGGGGTCTGGAGTACCAGCCCTCAGGGAGCAGGAGACAAGCAGGAGAACAAGCAGAGGGCTGGAGACAAGGAAAGCAATGAGCAGGGGGCTGGAGATGAGCAACGGAATGAGCAGGGAGCTGGAGATGAGCCATGGAAGGAGCAGGGAGCTGGAGAAAAGCAGGGGAGTATTGGGGAGGCTAGAGATGATTCAGGGATTCCCCTGCTCAGTTCCAGCCTCCTGATCACTCCCCTGCCAGGCTCCAGCCTCACACACCACCCACAGTTTACCAGCAGTGGCAGCAGCGATTGGGATGCTCAGGTCGTTGTGGCACAACCCCTCACAATCTTCTTTGGATTGTGTTTTAATTTTTTTTTTTGCATTAGATACTGAAATTTTGGTTTTGGTTCTTATTTTATAGTTCTTTCAAGGTGCAAACAGTACACAGATGTAAAAACCCAAGAAGTACCCACATTAACATAAGCTAAATAAAAACAGGAACTCAGGATGGGCTCTCCAGAAGTAATTCAATCCTGTTTTTAAAAACCATTTGTCCCTGACATAGAAAAGCTATTGTTAAATATATCAATGATATTAATTAACCCTATTCAAATTTGTTCCATGATATACAGCAAAAGATAGCACAAACAAAATTTAACACATTATCAGTCAATAAAAAAGGATTTGGTGGAGATTATTTAAATAGTTTTAAATTTTGTTCAAATTATTATTACGTTTTTAACTAGTAATGGGAGAGAAGTGAAGAGGGGTGGATAGGGTTTAAAGAAGCTGATCTGTTAATGTCAAGTTGTTAATAGAACAGAAAATATAAACTCAATTTTGCAAGTAGCACCTGAGCCATAGTAACACTTAATTGTTCAAAGTTACAGTACTTGAGAAGAAAGTTAATAACAGGACCTCAGGATAGGTGTATAAGATCAGTGTTACTTAAATAAATTTAAATATTCAAGTCCTGAAATGAGAATTTAAACAAGCATTTATTTTTTGTACAACCCTCCATCCCTCCCCTTTCCTTTAACCCAGAATCTCTCCTCCCACAGAAACAGACAGGAAACAGAATCTCTCAGGAGTCTCAGGACAGAAACAGAAACACTCCCACCACAGTTAATCTGCTTCATTGGGAAAATGTTCACAATACTCAGAGATTCCCCATATCTCTTGCTGCCTCATGCCTCCTTGCCAGGACCTCCATTAGGTCCTGCACAAACCCATGCTTCACATGAAGGCAAAAATCCCAGCATGGGTCCCGCCAAGGTGTCACAGAAGCCAGGGGACCCCCAGCATCCCATACCTCCACACAAGAATGTGCACTAATCCATGGACAACATGGAGAGGGTCCAGAGGAGGGCCACCTGCATGATCCGGGGACAACAGGGCAGACCCTACAGTGAGAGACTGCGGGACCTGAACCTATTCAGCCTCCACAAGAGAAGGCTGAGGGGGGACCTGGTGACCGTCTATAAACTCACTAGGGGGGACCAGAAGGGTTTGGGGGAGACGCTGTTTCCCCTAGCGCCCGCTGGCATAACAAGGAGTAATGGGCACAAGTTGATGGAGAGGAGGTATAGATTGGACATCCGCAAAAACTACTTCACAGTTAGGGCGGCTAGGAGCTGGAACCAACTTCCAAGGGAAGTGGTGCTGGCCCCTACCCTGGGGGTCTTTAAGAAGAGGCTGGATGCCTACCTGGCTGGACTCATTTGAGTCCCGTTTCTTGTTTTGGGGTTTTGTTGTTTTCCCGCCCTGGCGGGGGGTCAGGCTAGAAGATCTACTAGGTCCCTTCTGACCCTAAATCTATGAAACTATGAAACTATGTCTCTGCTAGGGAATTCCTGGCTCCCCTTTCCTCCATGCTGGGGCCCAGGCTGGGTCCTGTGCTGACTCAGAGGCATGGGTCAGCGCTTATGCTGACACAGAGGCACAGGGCAATGTCCATGCCTCCTTGTTAGTACACGTGGACCTCTGCTTTATGCACAGGTTGTGGAGTGGCTTGGCATGAGAGCTGGGGAATTCCCCCCATACCTCCTTGCTGGCCCATCTTTCACGAAGAGGCGTAGGTCAGTACAGGTTTCAGTGCAGAGGTATGGGGAACCAGGAATTCCCTGGCTCCTATACTCTACACTGGGACTTAAGTTGGTCCATGTAGCATGGTTCAGCATAGGTCCCAGTGTGAAGACACAGAATCACGTAGGTCCCAGCGCAAAGGCCTGGGGCACCAGAGACTCCCCAGGTTCAATGCCTCCATGCAGGGATCCATGTGGGTGTTTCCTGGTTTTAGAGATGTGCCCTTGAGATTCTGGTGTGGGTCTCCACAAGCAGGGAACTGTGAATTTCCCTGCACCTCTCTGTAAGCAGGGAAAGTTGAGCATGTTCTCCAGGAGATTATGGGGCCCAATCCTAACCTCAAGTCCCCAGAACATTACTACACCGTCTTATCATCTTATCCACTACTGTCCTTAAAATAAATGTGAGATAAATGCTAGCTTGCTGTTTCAGTACGGTTTCAGAAACTTGAATAATAGCTCAAATAAAAAATGTCTCATTTCTGATAATGAGAACTCAAGAACTGAAATAGTAGGGGTTCACCTTACAGATCTGAATCATAGAATCATAGAATCAATGAGTCGGAAGGGACCTAGACAGATCATCTAGTCCGACCCCCTGCCATGGGCAGGAAGGAGCACTGGAGGTGGGAGGGGTCATAAGACCCCAGCCAGGTGCATATCCAGTCTCCTCTTGAAGATTTCCAGGGAAGGTAAGAGCACCACCTCTCTGGGAAGCCTATTCCAGGCTCTGGCCACCCTTACAGTGTAGTTCTTCCTAACATCTAACCTAATTTGCTATCAATGATGTCTACGTGCACATGCAACCTAGTAGTAAGAACAGCATAACTAAGAATCAGTCTATTAAGGAAAGATGCATACGTTTCATCACAGAATTGACAGTATGTTAAATAAAGCACACATGTAGGAAGAACAGTCCTATATAATGTGAAAGGCCCACATCAGAGGGACTATTAGATCATAGTCTTCTTACAAGTCTGCTATATAAATTTTTTTTTTAAAAACTATAAATGCAAGTATTAATATTAAAACTATTACCATTTCTAACAGCTTCTCATCCATAAATCCCATTGCAATCAATAGAAGCATAAGAAATACCATGGAATTCCACAAAAAAAAATAAAAAAAAATAAAATAAAAGGCCACCTGTATTTTGGTATCTAAAAGCATATTTGAGAGCCTTACTTAAAATCCCTAGAGTTAAAAACTTCAGCCAGAATACTCATCTACTATCATGAGCCATTTGCTGGTTATACTACAACATGAATATTCATTTTCATACATATGGTAATTATTATACAGCTTTGAACTGTGTTTTGGCTGTGGGAGGAAACATGCTCATATTTTTAAAAACAGAATCAGGCCTCAAGGCTGGAGTACATGGTCTGAATTCATGCCTACATTCTGATTTATCATTTAAAATGCAAATTTTATTCTACACAGGCAAGTACAGAAATATTTATTTCTTGGTAAACGCCAAAAGGTTTACAAGATAGCTTATACAACAGCAAATTAAGAAAAAAAGTCAAGAAAAATATTAACTTACAGTATGCGTGGGTCAGTGAACAAAAAGGATTCAGAGTTGTCTTCTAGCAGAGATTTGAATTTCTTCCCAGTAACTTTGCCAATTGATGTTTTGAGTTTCTTGGCTAGCTTTTTAGGAGTGTTTGTTACAGATGAAGACTCATCCATACAGCAACTATATACTTCACTCTTCAGCTGGAAGTCAGGTCCTGCTTCATCACTGAAAACAAGTTTTTCAGAACATCTGTGAATTAGCTGAGTGTATAGCACAGGTATTCTCTTGCTCAGATTTGTATCCAACAACATATCTTGCTGACCAAGACAGAAAATTACTTTACATTACAAAATAAAAGGAATATGTAAGAACAAAATCAAAGACCATAAAACACACATGATAAACATAAGAAATCCAAAGATGAAACTTGAGAAAGCCAAATGTGTTATGGAAATATTCTCTTAAGGCATTCAAACTGATGTGGACATTGGTATCAGAAGTGGACTGGCCAAGTTTGCCGATGACGCCAACCTTTGGGGTAAAGTGTCCACACCTGAAGACAGGAGAGTGATCCAGGTTGACCTTGACAGGCTCAGGAAATGGGCAGATGAGAACCTGATGGTGCTTAACACTGAAAAATGCAAGGTTCTCCACTTCGGGAAGAAAAACTTGCAGCATCCTTATAGGCTCGTTAGTGCTACTCTGGCTAGCACTATGGATGAAAGGGACTTGGGGGTCATAGTTTCATAGGTGGTAGGGTCAGAGTAGATCATCAAGTCTGAGTCCCTGCCACGGGCAGGAAAGAACGCTGGGGTCAAACAACCCCAGCAA